ACTTAATGCAAGTGAACCACAGGGAATTTATCTGAATTCAAAGAAGGTGGCGACGTCGGCTTACACACGTCATTTATTTAATGCAGAAGAAACATGGCCAATCTCCCCGAATGGAAAGCCAAAAATGGTCGGAGAAAAAACGAACAAAGTGTGAACGTTGCGATAAAGCAAATAGACAGGGATTGCTAAATGAATACAAGGGAGATGACGCCCAAAGCATACACATTTAAATGATTCGGAACAAGATTAAAATATGCACCCTTTTGTACACGTTGATGCGCTTAGCCAGTCACAGTGTCAATGAATTTATTAGATTTGTGCCTGAATTCATGAAGGTAGATACGATGGAGCGCACACTTGCAAGCGAAATAAAATGGATCTCCCGGATTCTGAATGCACTATATAGCAGCAGCACTTTGCCATTTAATCAAAATATTTTTTTTTACGCTCGCTCTTGCTTTTTTTTATTTAAATGCTTTAATTCACCTTGTCTGTTGGCCTTTTAAGCAGGCACTAACTCACGGATGCATGTTTCAAAGGGATTAAAATCAGCACATGTATTTATGTGACTGTGCATATAATTTCAATGCAAAAAAAAACTCGTCTTAATTAAATTGAAGGTTGTAGAATATTTCTACGTTTTAATGGTGCTCAGCGCGTGCACACACATATGTAATCTATAAAGATGTGGAAGCACTGCACAAAAAAAGACGCAAAGAGAAAAAAAACAAATCGTTAAATGCCAAATGTGCACTTTTTTTCTCGATTTATTTCTGGAGCAAATAAAAAAAAAATATAGAAAAAAAATAAAATCAAAACAAATGATAGCAGCCGAACAAACGTAAAATAGAAGCCGGAATAAGATTCGTGTTCGGAATGCTAATCGATATCTCACACATTCACCCATCCACCCTGACGAGTCGTTTTCAATGCCGAAATCGCTTTCATAAAAATAAAATCGGAGATACATATATATATATATATATATATATAAACGCAGGGAGAGAAAGAGAAGGAGAGACAAAAAAAAACAAATTGCAGGGAAATGAAAACAGGTTGTTCGGATAGCTCTTGGTTTTTCGCTTTGGATTTGGTTGAAATGCAGAAAACAGCAATAAAAAGGAAATATGAACACGTGGAAAAATGCTAGGAAAAATGAGTTCGGCAAATGCAGCACTTGATCGAATCGGATTTTTATGTGTGCGGCGAGGGTGAAAAGCCACTTCAAATCGTAAACATATAGTTTATTCCGTGTTCGTATTTTCTCTCTCTCTCTCTCTCTCTCTCTCTCTCTCTCGGTTGAAGTAATAGGCGAAATAGGAAAATTTCATTTTGTTATGTAATTTAAGCCGTGTACTACACAAAACACCCTTCGATTTTCCCAATTCGGCCTTGTTTCTTGGGCTCAGCTCGACTCGACTCGATTCAATACGGCACACTGTGTATTTTATGAATAATCGAATATTTTAACCGTTGCAATTTTGATATTAAGGCAGCAGTTCCATTCAACCATTCCCCCCCACCCGATCGACACAAGAGTTCAGCCGAGAGAGCAATCTAAATAAATAACATATTTAAGCGAATGGTATTACACGGATTTCTATCAACACAATTATTATGCTGAATGCTCCGGGTGTGATGCGGTCGCATCGAATTTAAATTATCGGGAGGTTTTTATGTTTGCATGGAATTAAATGCAGAATCATTTGGGGATTTGAATTGTGTGAAATGGTTTAGATGAACATGAACAATGAAGGGAAGCCCGACTGCGTCAATATAATGCCAAAAAAGCAATTTTGCTTCTAAATTTTTTTTTTCTCCGTCAAGATTATGTCGAGAGCGATTTAGTACACGAGTGAGAGAGTGAATAAGAGAGGGAGAGAGAGAGAGAGAGAGGAGAGTAAAATACATCGCCAAGATCGATTATAACAACGAGCACCATAGTAAATTGCACCAAATGGCTAGAAAATAAATCGTTTTTTATTATTTTCTTTTCAACACTCAAAACTTTCTGCTTCCCACAGCAAAAATAAAACCAATAAACAACCCAAACCATTTTTCATCGCTGCCGCATGGATTCACATACATTCAACCCAGAGAAGAAAAAAACGAAAAATAATCCAAAGGAACGGGGAGAGACAGAGAGAAAGAGTGCGGGAAAATGTTCAAACAAAAACTTTCCAATTATCGATTTCTTCAGAGGAGCTGTTCTTTTTCTAAGGTGGTTAAAACAGTTCACACTTCCCGTGTGCGCCTAGCGGTTTGGATAGCTGAAAGCTGATTTGCCCTCTTCGTGTTTTCGGATGGGGAAGCATTTTGGTATGATTTGGTCGAATTTTATTGATTTTCATTTCAAAACTAACCCAGATAAATGAGTACCATCGCCCACCACTCTTTGATATGGCTGATACGGTGCGTTTGTGTTTTTTTTTTTCATGCGGAAAAAATGCAGCTTTTCAACTTTTTTTCGTAATCTGCTCTACTCAATTACAACAAAACAAGTATCCACCTGTTTTATTTTTCGTTGCGCGTAACGTTCGGTTTTTGTTCCGACTTCAATCATCACTAGTTGGTGGTGGTGGCTGAAGGATGAAAAACCTCATCTCATACTTTACTAGTTTTTAGTTGTTCAGCAATTTATTTATATGTTCGTATCGTTGGCATTTCATTTTTGTTTCATTGCTTAATCACACACAATGTCGTTTTAGTTTTTTCTCCGTTTTGTTATGCTCCCATATTTACCATATCCACTCTACCACTCGATGGTAGTATACAAATAGTAATTTGGTTTTGAATAAAATATAAGAGAGAAAAAATGTCAAACTTTTCAAGGGAAATACAATCAATTTGTCCGAGAAGTTGTTGTAAACGCTCCAAATTGTGATAGGTATTTTTATACTGTGTGACAAAATATCGACTAATTCTCGGCTTTTATTTTGGGATTCTTTTCCTTTGGTTTCATTTTTCAATAGAATTTGTGAGACGAAAGAAGTAAACATATGGAAATATTTTGATAAAAACAACTGGAACCAAAGATATAAATAAAATCTTCTGCTAGTGAGAGAGAGGGAGAGAGAGTACTGGGAGCGGTCATGACTTTGACACGCAATGTTGAAATTAATTTTTATATGAATTTGCTACGTGCGAATATCTTGTTCATTTTCTTCATGTCATTCGCTAGTGATTTGTTATTCGATTTAATGCTGCTACTTAAAGGTTCCGCCTCCTTTCATCAAGATAGCAAATATATTTCAATGGAGAAAAAAAAATGATAAAAACATTCCGAAATAAATTTGTAGCTAGCGCCAAAGCTATTCGCCCACAAGAGCGCTCACACACAGACACACACATCGTCATCATCTTTTCTGTTTCGCTTCACTAAAAGTACGTTAAATGTTTTCACTTATCATTCACATTCAAAAGCATATACCTATGCACACCATTTCGTTATGCTGTCATAAACTAGTACTATCCCATAGTATTCATTCGTCAGTTGAATTTGAATGGTATTTGTTCCTTAAAGTCACTCTCTCTCTCAAGATGAATGCCTTTGAAATCGAAACGAAGAATTGTTTCGCTACCGAAACATAATCCATCAATTTATTTACATCTAATTTATTTCCTCCCCCTGCAAAGTTTGTCGACAGTGATGCGAGGCATACAATTGATATGAAATGCAAATTGAAAGGAACAAAATAGAGAGAGCATTGTCTCCGTACGTTGTTCTGCATGATTCGAAGCGTAGCTAACGATTGAACCGTAACCATTGGCACAAAGTAGTATGGTATTTTTTCAAGTAAATCCAAAGTGAAGTGGAAACAGTATCATCCATACACATACACACGGGTTTTTGTAGCAAAAAACGAACGAAAAAATATATTTATTTTCAATGAATTATATGCAGAAACCGAAGAAAACACGTCAAGCCGAGCAAATGGATTCAAACAATCCGATCGAAGCACCACACACACACCGAAAGCGAGAGTTTTTTTTTCTTCTCTTTGTCACTTTGCGCAAACACATATATTCAAAACAAGTAACGAAAAAAAAACAGATAAAGCAAATATCGGCCCAAATGATTCAAAGTGCTTTCGTATGATTGAATACGGGGAAAATGTGCGTTGTTGGCAGTAATGTTATACGAAAATTTACAATGAAAACATGGGTTTCAAATTTAGCACTTGATTGCAACATGTTTACAATAGATGAATGTTTGTTGCACGACATTATGAATATCCCATAGATCGGATGATTGTGCCCACACCGTGGCAGCAAAGAGCAATATACCATAGGCGACATCTCTTCGCGTCATACTCAACTCACTCATTATACTGCTTTAACACATACCGCTCGATTGTGTGTGAATGAGTGAGTTCATTATTATTTGAAAAGATGTCGCCTGTGGTATATGTACATGCTGCCACGGTGTGATTGTGCCATAAAACGATACGTCGTTAAACTAGATGGAATTTTCTCGTTCACCAGAAATAGAAGAACAATTTCAAAATGCGTTTGATAAAATAATAATAATAATAATCGGTTTGTTTGTTGATGTACAAAAATGATTGTTCCATACCATCCACTTGTCACTGACGAACAGTAATTTATTTACACATTTCTCTCACGTGCATCCCCTTTTTCATTTGCCGTATATGAGCTCAGCATTTTCAATATGTGTACGAGATCTGTCAGAAAACAACATTTCCTGAGCTCAATGTTTTCAGAATGAAAAATTTCGGTTAGAGACAATTTTCCTCCAGCGTTATAGTTGTAGAATTTGTTTATTCTCCTAAGAAAGTGACAAAAATATGGGAAAAGAAGAAGAAACAGAAGCAAACACCTCTTCGTTTTCCAGCAACACATAATAAAATTGTATTTTCTGCATTCTCATTTTATCACAATTATATTTATCTCATATCTGAAATTAATCTAAACTGAACTAATATTACTAGGCATTTGTGCCTTTTCAATTTCTCCAATGTTTTTTCTCAACACGTCAATCAGTGGCTGCCTTTTTTGTGACCATATTTTACACCCTTCTTACTCCCGCCTTTTTTCGCTGTTTCACTTTTGTGATCGTAGTGGTTTTCATCACCTTTTGCCGATTTGTAACCTGTGAACGGAGAATATACGGTCAAATAGTTATCGTTACAATCGCGTATTATTTTGTCGTGTCGTGTTGTTTATAGCAAAGTGAATTATTATAGTTAACCGTAGAAACAGTGCACAATCTATCTGAACGCTATGGTGAAATGTCACCATTTACAGTGGAGATGAATCGTATGCATTGAATGAGCTGAAAATTTCTATTCGAAATGTGAAAAAGTTGTATTTCGAAAATATAGCTCGAATCAAAGAAAGGTCAATCTTCGAAATCGTACATGACGGATGACGAAGCAATTTCTCATCTCAATATATTGAATAGGTGCACTAAAATTATTGCGTATAACCTGATTCGTCAGAATGATGGTGTCCTTTTTGGCCATAGCCCTTTTTCCCTCCTGCTTTCTCTGCGAATGACTTGTTGAAGTGTCCCTTTTTGTGCGAGTCACCCTTTTTCGATCCGAATTTTTCGTGAAAATCGCCATGTTTCTCATCGTATGCGCCGTCATAATCTTCATCAAAAAAGTCTTGTTTCTTTGCGGATTCATCTAACTTATGAATGACATGTGATCCTTTAGTTGAATGACCTTTTCGAAATTTTCCTTCTTCGTAGAATTTAAAGCCTTTCTCCCCTTTCTTTCCCTCCTCTTTTTTCGAATGATATCTATCTCGATTTATTAATGGTTTTCAATAACTTTTTTGAAGTATAACAAAACAACTATCAGCACAAATTAAAGTTCTACCTACCCAGATTCATCGGAATGTTTCTTTTTGTGACCTTTCTTCTGTTCATATTCACCTTCTTCTGTCGCCTTGTCATGGTGACCTTTCTTCTTGCCTTCTTCTCTGTTTTGAAAAATTAAATAACAATTAAAGGCATTTATGCCTAATGAATAGGTTATAAACTGAAAATGAATATTTATGCGCTTTTCACGGTCATTTGATAAATAGTTTGAATGATGGTATAATCTTGTTAATATTGAAGCATCAATGTTTTAGTTTTGAACAAAATCACATTAATTTGGAGAAAATCACGACATTTTGGAAAATCAATTCCAATCTAATTATATTCACATTGAAATTGATTTTACACTTTTCACTTTTCTTTCAAATATGTTGCACAATTTTGATTCTAATATTGAATTATTCAAAAAAAATGACTAGTACCCGTGCTTCTCATCGTAGCCTTTTTCACTTTTCTTCCCATGTTTATCGTATCCACTTTGATGATGATCTGATTCCTCGCCTTTTTTCCAGTTTGATGCGGCCACGTCCAAGTCAACTAAGTCATCGGCTGAAATGTGTCGTGCCTCACAACCGTTCATCAAGCAACTGACGAGAGCCGCGGTCACAACACACAGAAGAACAAACGTTAATCTTGACATTGGTCAAACGTGCGATTGAAACGATAGATCACAATTTCAATTGTATTCTATTTCGCCTATTCCGGTTTACGATTCGAAGGTTTATGATGACAAACACGTCGGATCAATTTTTATTTATACTCCGATTTCGTAAGATTTAATGGACTAACAAAGACGCAAATCTTCCGCTAGAAAAAAGAAATCAATTAGTTTCACTTTTTTCCCATGTCAATATCCAACCGATTATTGTTGAGATGGTGAGGAAAACTGAACCAAGCAACGACAAATAAACTGATTTTCACGGTTGTTCAAAATAAATCAACAACAATTGAATTCTTTCCACGTGATTGTTGTGCCGAACGAAATGAAACGGCGGTTTTCAAATTATTTTTTTTTTCTCTTCTCTCTTCGGCAAACAATTAAAATTCCAACTCTATTGACACAACACTGTTTTTTCCCTCTGAATAAACTGTTCGCAGAACGGTGCCAGGCAAATTCAAACAATGAGAACGAACAGAAATTTAAATCGACACATTGCTAAACGAGCATCGTCGGCACCGTTTCGATGCGGTGAAAATAAGGTAGAATACAACAACAACAAAAAAACACTAACGATATTGACGTAATATTCATTGAACTGATTAATTGCAACATCAACACTGATTGTTCTCCGTAATTAATATTTATGCAACACACACCGTTGTATTTCAACTGCCGTGAACCCGTGAAAAAGATACGAGCGAGCATTGGTGGGAAAAAGGAAGTATATGTATGTGTATGTATGGAAAAATGAGCGAGACAAACAAACATGCTATGCGAATTAGTCACACAATACGTATAGCAACAACAAAAAGTCTCGTGGTCATGTTTCTATGAGCATAAAAAAAGTTTCTAAAGCACGTTCAATTCACGTTGGTTGTATGCGTCGCACACAAAATGGCAATGACACAGGCTGACAAATAGATAAATTTCAATTTCAATTCCGAGCGTCAATAAGCTCTCGGCTGGAACATGGACTGACAAAAACACGATCGATTCGAATCGCTATCGCTATATGTATATTGTATACACACATACATATGAATATAACACATTCGAGAGTGAACGAATAAAAAGCACACGCATCGTGTTGTGATTCGATTAACAAGTTTTTATGTCATCGCTAGCGACTACAAAGCAAGCAATCTGCATGGTATTTTTTGTGCTAGCCGCATTCAACTTTAGTACAATTCAAATTTATGGAAAAATGAAATCGATACACCGGTGTTTGTAATGACAGCATGAAATGAACATGATTTTTTGTGTGTGGAGTTTTTCGGTGAATTTGTGCGAATTCGATATACATATTTCTAAGCATGGATCGTGCATATAAACTCATTGTTGCTGATGGCTGAGCAAAAAAAAAAATCGTACTGTGTCCATTTCAATCAATTAAAACTTTTCATGAACAATATTTCATCGCAAAATGCATCGCGGAAAAGCGAGCAAGTGAGTGAGTATGGGCGTACGGTTAACGAGGTGAAACAGAAAAAAACGTCGACTTTTGAATAGAAAACGAAGAGAAATGCAAAAAAAAAAAATCAAAAGCAAACGCGTTTTTGCATTTCGTGGAAGTTTTCGCTTCTGCATTGAAAACGTTTACCCAAAGCATGCAGCTGCCATTTTTGACGAATCAAAATGGTCGTTTTACTTTTCTTGGCTTTCGAACATTTTCAATCATTCTCTCCTGCAGCGAAGCTCAATCATTTCACATCTTTCGTACATAGTATTATATTTCATTGCGTTGTGTGAATATAAAGAAGAGAAGTAAAAGCCGAAACAGTGTGCGACCAGCGAACATATACTAGCATTTATCGCATCGCCAAATTAAATTAAATACACGTATGCTTCGTGTAACGACTCTTTATTACGCATAAAACGGAAGTGGCATATACGGATATTTGTGCGAACCAATAGCGAAAACTCTGCCAGAACCACAGAGTATAAACAGGCGGCGCATCGTACATCTCAAACATTGTTTTTAACGTTGGTTTCCCTATCATATATAAAATAATGCGCCTGGTCATTTCAACACTGTAGGTGTATGTATGTATATCTACACATCATATCTGTTTTACGTATGACGCATACGCTTATCTCAAAGCGTGTGTTTCCATCCTTCAATGTTTCGGGCAATACTCGGCACGGCTGACTTCAATAATAATTTTGTGTTCACATAACGGTAATTAAATTTGTATCCGTTTTCACATCATTTTTGTTCATGAAAAATTCACGACGGGAAGCGTGTGTGTTTTTTTCGCTCTCTCGATTCTAATGATTCGAAGAATTTATGCAGCCCACGATAGTGTGGCTGGATGCTCGACAAAGTGAACAATCAAGGCTATATAAATAAGTGAAATTTAATTATTAAAATGTATTGGTAAGAGCAGCAGCATCATCATCAACATTTCAAAAAGCGTTACAGGTAATTGAAATTGCTAAAAAGTTTATCGCCACCTACGGTTTAATCACCTCACCATTTTCGAAGCAAAATGCGCACGGGTTCATGTCATGGTCATGGCAAAAAGTGCCGGAAATACGTGCAATTATAACGAGTATCAGAAAAGTGAATACAAAATAAAACCCCATTAATTGATCGCGGCCAACGGGAGGGACAGAGAGATACTCCAGCGGAAGTTTCATAAGCAATTTAATAAAAACTTTTTATTGTTCATCCCAGAAAATTTAAATAGTTCGCTATCCCTTGGTTTCACTAGTTCATCATTCATCTCTTTAGTTTGCATATATACATCCAAGCAGCCGGAGGCAATAATTTTATTTCTAAGCAGGAAACGAGCGCAATTGGCTTCAAGCATTTTATGTTTGGTTGGGAAAACGGTTGAAGCGATGGATGTGTTGTATATGCAAGTGAAACGTTGGGCATATTGCGTCCTTCAATGTCATTATTACTGCGAATGATACTTCCCTTCGTGCACGCCGTCGGAGAATATAACTTCTGAGCAAACTTGATAAGAAAAAATTACTGCTCATAATTGTATACTAAAAAAAGGCAAGCGAACGAGAGATAGAGAGAGAGAGAAAAAAAAAGGCTGATGTTATCCAACGATACAGCCCAAAACTGCATATAAATTTCGTTTTGTTTGACAGTGAGAATATCATAAAGGAGAGCGATTTGGTTTGTAAGTGACAATTTTGTTTTACCGCAGAGTTTCGAAAAGCCTTCGTGTAATCTCTGTGTCTCTGGCTGATGATGCGCAACAGAGTAAAATTGATGCGAAAACTTTGGCAAAAACAGCAACGAATAATAACAAAGCAGTCGCTACCAAAATACATTCCATCCAAATCATCATCGTTATCATTATTAGTTTGTGTTATTGCTAATTGTGTGTGTATGTGTGCGTGAGCGACAAACGCGCGACTCATATTTAGCTCAATATTGTAGGTATATTCGCTCCTTCGACGGCAGGGATTCAGCCTTTGTCAGCTTCATTTGAATAGAGAAGAGATAAAATTTTATGCTTTTGCTACGAATTTATTAGCATAAGTACTAGATTAGACATGGAAAAAATAAATATAATGCGACATTTTTCCAAATTTATTGCACATAGAAAATTTCAGTGGCCGTTATAATTACAATGGGGACGGTTGTTGAGCACTTTGCCGGGGAAAACTTTAAATCTATTTAAAAGTATTGTCATGTCGACGACAGGAAACGGAACATGGTTTTTCATCCGAACTTAGTTTACATTTAATAATGTATGCTCTGCTTTGTTTCTATTATGCAAAATAAATTTTTGTGGGTCGCCTAATAAAACGGTTTGAGTGTGTATGTGAGTGTGTGTGTAAGAGAAAGAAAAGGAGAGAAGAGAGAGACAATAATATCGCTCATATAAAATAAAAAGAATTACATTGGTAATCTCAAACTTTTCCGTACCGTTGGCCTGCGTTGTCCGTATGTACTTTTGGTTATTTTTTGTGAATTTTCTTGAAATAAAGGCAGTGAAAATATAATAATGAAAATAAAGTGAAAAATCGGTCACTTTAACTAAAACTTCGACAAATTTGTATGAGAGGTACCCGTAAACCGATTCTTATTGGCTTTAAACTTTCTGAGGTTTCATTTTTTGGAGAAAAAATAAGATTCTGAAAGTTTCATGTTGATCGCATTTGCAGAAGTTTGGTTGATTGAGGGCCAAATTTGTATGGGAAACCAGTAAATCGATTCCGATTCGTTTCAAACTTTCAGAATCTTATTTTTTTCCCAAAAAATGAAATCCCAGAAAGTTTGAAACCAATCGGCGTCGATTTACAGGTACCTCCCATACAAAAGTGTCAATTTTTTGAGGTTTTTCTTAGGGCAAGTACCCCAGGGTCAAATCGAAAATGGCTCATCTTCGAACTTAAACTAAGTTTATTGGATACAAAACTTTTGGGACTTTCAGATTTGGATTATCTCAATCATTTTTTGAGTTATCGTGTTTACAAACAGCTACGACGACGACGGCACACGAACGGAAAAGTGTCTCAAAAAGTGGTTTTCTACGCGTTTCATGAGTTTTTATGATGATCTAAGCTAATTTTGCGAAAAAAGTTTTCGGGACCAATTCCTATACTTTCCCTTGACACGTTGTGTACGGAAAAGTAACAAGTTTCAGAACGTATTACAATTCTTGCCAGTAATCCTGAATATAACATTACATCAACGATGGAAATCTACTTATGAAAATGGACCGCATTCCATATAAAATGCTAATCACTTTAAATCTTGACGTACGAACGAATATACCATTTCCCAAGAATTCATCTTTTCTCTCGCTACAAATATGTTGTCAATTAAAACATGTTAAAACAACATGAATTTGTCGGAAATGAGAGCAAATGAACGTTGTTTGCCATTTAGGAATGGTTACAATGAAAGTGTAGGGTTTGTGTGACCTAGAAAGTTTGGAACTTGAACACAT